TCCTCCTGACCCCCACCCTGCAGATATTTGTAAGTATATATTAGGTCCCCTCGCAGCCTTCTCTTCTCCAGGCTGAACAACCCAGCCTCCCTCACCCTCTCCTCGTAGGAGAGATGCTCCAGTCCCCTCACCATCCTCGTAGCCCTCCACTGGACTCTCTCCAGTAGCTCCTCATCTTTCTTGAACTGGGGAGCCCAGCACTGGAGCTCGTGTTCATGAAGTGGTGTGAAGTCAAGAGAAGAACGTGGGCTCCCTGCCAGCTGGGAGGCAGCTGATTTAGCAACCCGAGTCATTCTGATACCCAGCAATGATGCGCCGTCGGTCGGCGTCTGCACCGGCTCAGTAGGAACCGGCTTTTCAATAGATCCAGCCTCCTCTTGACAACGCCCGTGTTGTGCCACAGCAGGCGCGGGCTGGCAAAGCCGGTACCTCTTTCGGAGGCGTTCTGCCAGCTCGCTGCAAAGCAGCAGGAGAAAAAGCTGCCGTTGTCTCGGCCAGAAGGAAAAGCCAAGCTCTGGCAGCTGGGTGGTTGGGTTTGGTTTTTTGTTTTTTTGCTGCAGACTGGAAAAACCTATTGTGAGGGGAAAGAGGAAGGAAAGAAGGACGGGAACCACGCTGGGGGCAGGCCTGGGCAGGCAGCAAGCGTGACTCAGGGGAATGGCCTGGCCGTGCGTTCTGGCAGCCCGTGCGCGGGGAGCAGCGTGCCCAGCTCGCAGGAACGCACCGCGCGTGCGCCGGTCTGGCTGCCCAGCCTGCTCGCCCGGGGAGCGAAGGCGGTCGGGCGATGTCGTCGAGGAGGAGAGGGCAGTTGGGGTTGGGTGGTCTTACCCATCCTCGGCTTGCGCTGGTACCCCCAGCCTCGGGGAACAGCTAACCCCGACAGCCAGCTGTGAGCCTCTCCCATGCCCAGGAGCTGCAGTTTGGGGCTAAAAGCAGCTTATTTCATGCTTTTTAAGCCACTGAGCTGCGGCACAGCAGGATGGTGAGGAAGCCCATGGGCGGACCCGGGGGAAGCGAAGGGCAGTGGGCGTGTTGGTTCAGCAATCTTGTGGATGGTCTCGCAGAGCTGTCCTGTGGGATTCTGATCTGGCGTCTCGCCTTTTCCCATTGCCCGCTTCCGGAGTGCGAAGGGAGAGACCGATCAGCTTGCTTGTTCCTGAGGATGCTGCTGCTAGCCAGGCTGGTGGGACTTGTCCTTCTGGGGTATGCAGACCAGACCTAAATCTCTACACTACCTGCAAGGAGGTTGTAGTGAGGCAGGTGTTGGTCTCTTCTCCCAACTATCTAGCGATAGGACGAGAGGCAATGGCCTCAAGTTGCATCAGGGGAGGTTTAGATTAGGGATTAGGAAAAATTTCTTTACTGAAAGAGTGGTCAGGCATTGGAACAGGCTGCCCAGGGCGGTGGTGGAGTCACCATCCCTGGAGGTGCTCGAAAAGTGTGTAGATGTGGCACTTCAGGACATGGTGGTGTTGGGTGGATGGTTGGACTTGATGATCTTAGAGGTCTTTTCCAACCTATGATTCTATGATTCTGTGATCTCTGCTGAGTATTATTTGTGGTTTGCATCCCTTTCCCCCATAGCCTGTTGATAGCTCTGGACTCCTTGGCTCTGTGGCCACTGGGCCTCACTTCACAACGTCTGTAGGGGGGAGCAGGAGCCGTGATTGCTTTCCCTGCTCTGCTGCGGGCGCAGGCTGCACCTCGGGCTGGTCGCTTCCACTGTCTCGCTGCGCTCTCCTCGCCGGCCAAGGCAGCGTAACGACCCCTCACCCTGCTCTGTAATGGACCTCTGTGTCTCTGGCCAGGAAAACTTGATTATTCAGAGAGAAAAGCGGCTGCGATGTTTGTAAGGAGACAGCTTGGCCCGTGAACGTGTTCTTTCTGGCTCTGCATCAAAGGAGCCTGTCGCAGGGTCTACAGTTCAGGGCTACGTGGATGCCCTGAATTTAAGGGTTTGTGGAGCTCTTGCGGTTGAGGCTGGGAGTGCAAACATCTTCCCAAAGCTGAGCACACGCAGGTGCTGGGCTCCCCGAGCTGCCGTCTCTCAGGTGGATGTGACGTGAGGGTCCTGACGCCGGGCAGACCTGGGGGAATGGGGTGGTTCACAGTGTCCGGCCAGAGTGCACCTGGGGGAATTCCCTTCCGTCCAACTGGAATCCCTTCCGGCAGACTGGAATCCCTTCTGGCAGACTGGAATCCCAGACGCTCCCTCTGCACTCCCAGCACCAGCTGCTGGCAAGCAGTCTGGTGCGGCCGTGTCCTGGTACCCAGCTATCCCTTTCCAGCCTGCAAATGAAAGAGCCAACGTGTGAATCTGTGCTCGTGCCGATGAACAGCTCGGGAGGGAGCTGTAAGCGGATTTGAGTAGCACTGGGTGCTCCTCTGGATGATGGACGGAGCTGGAATGGGATCTTCATCTCTGTCCTCGCTGCAGACATTAAAGGCACCTGGGAGCGTTGTTCCAAGAGCTTAACACCTTCAGAGACCCTCTCCACAGAGAGTCTGGTGGCTCAGCCTGGACATGAAGACTCTCGGTGAGCTTTCTCCTGAGCTCCTGTCCCATCTGACCGCTTCTCCTCTCCAGCAGTGGCCAACATTTTGGTGGTACAGCAGCCCTGCTCTCACCGGGGACCTTCTGCCCTGTCCCCTGCGAATTCTCCAGCCCGGGCACACACTCTGTAATTACAAGACAAACATTATGCCCCCCCAGGAGCGTTCTCACTTTTCTTCACTCCTAGACGTGCTGTCAGGATTGTCCTGGCTATTAGCACGTGGCATTTCCAGCCACCTTTCCACCCCTGTAGGTATTCCCAGGAGAACGTATAGATCAGAGCTAAAAATATGCTCTCCTCTGCCTGCAGCAGGAAATACCTGGGACAGAAACACCAGACACCGGGTAGGGTGCTGAAACCCGCTTTCTCCTGCTCTCTGGGCCAGCTCTACAATGGAGCCTGGCTGCTCCCCGATTCCTGGGGCACACAGCAGAGGAGGAGCCTCCAGCAGCCAGAAAAATCCATCCTTGCTGGGGAAAGTATAGCAGGGTAGAGCCAGGCCACCATTAAAGCCTCTCCCAGCCAGACACCAGCTGAGACTGAGCAGGTTGGAGAGCAGATGGAGTCCCACAGACATCCAGCACCTCTGCTATGGTCACCTTTCTGTCACAGCAGGTCCCCTGAGGGACAGGCACCATCCCAGCACCGACAAAATGGGATGTTCTGGCTGCAGAGAGCTCCCAGGCCAGAGTCTGGATTTCTCTGCTGGGTATTTCCATGGGATCAAAGCATTCCGATGGACAGGAGACAGGAGGGCTAAGAAGACGCAGGAGGGGACCATTTTCACCAGTTATCTGCATCCCAGTTGCATGGTCTAGAAACAAGTACCTTACAAGAAGAGGGGAGCAAAGAGGGCTTTGCTTTTGGTCTGTTTTTAACCAAGGAGCTGAAGAGGACCTAGTAAAGGTTTAGGGGACCTAATAAATGTTTATAAATATCTGAAGGGTGGGTGTCAAGAGGATGGGGCCGGACTCTTTCCAGTGGTGCCCAGTGACAGGACAAGGGGCAACGGGCACAAACTGAAGCAGAGGAAGCTCCAGCTGAACACGAGGAAGAACTTCTTCCCTCTGAGGGTGACGGAGCCCTGGCCCAGGCTGCCCAGGGAGGCTGTGGAGTCTCCTTCTCTGGAGATATTCCAGCCCCGCCTGGACACGGTGCTGTGCAGCCTGCTGTGGGTGACCCTGCTTGGGCAGGGGGTTGGGCTGGGTGACCCCCAGAGGTCCCTTCCAACCCCAAACATTCTGTGATTCTGTGATTCTGTGATTCTGTGATTCTGTGATTCTGTGAAGAGCCATCCCTCCCCGACCACGTGCGTTGCCCCGAGGAAGGGTCTTGTTTCCCCCCCGCTGTAGGAGACGGGCGCACACAGAAGTCACAGTCTGGTCTCGCACAACGAAGTCTCAGTGCTATGAAAGAAGGTCCCAGTCACCGGGAGCCTCGACGGCAGAGGAAGCGAGGAAGGAGAGGACAGGGGTCATTGTTACCAGGGTTGCTGTTTGGCCTCTGTGGGCCTCGTTGCCCCGTGAGCAATCCGGTGGCACGCAGGGAAGCTATGCAGCCCGCCAGTGCTCCTCGCTGAGCAATGAGCTGGCTCCCGCTGCCAGCTCTCCGGGTATTCCCCGAATAGACATGGAATTCGCTGAGTCTTATTATAGTTATAAAACTGCTATTTTTGCCACTACGGGTAGACTGCGGGGGGGCTCGCTGGCTGTATCCTGGCTTTTTCTCTCTCTCGGACAGCTGGCTTTGTTTTCTCACCCAGCATTCATGAAAGGTGCCAGATTCAGGGCATTTCTTTGGGTTCATTTCTGTCTTTTATGCGAAGCAACGTATATCTGACAGGAGTTTGTTAAAGGCCTCTGAATTTACACTGCAGATGGCAAAATGTGCTCTATTTGTATCAAGCGTACAGCGTGCCTACAGCCCACCTAACCCCAGCTTACCCCAGGGGAAGATTCGGTTGTCACCACACCTGTCTCACCACAGACGCTGGGATGAGAGCGAGGAACCCGCTCTGGGGACGTTGTGTGCTCCTGACTGCAAACCCAGGAGTGTTTTGGGATAACAGCGAACGTGGCTGAGCCTTCCCAGACTCGGATGCTTGGGTGGCTTGCTTCATTCTCTCGGCAGCTGGACCTTCAGGACTTTGTGAATCCACCACCAAAATCTAGAGCTTCTGTAATGTTTGGGTCCCGAGTGCTGTCTGCAGTGGCTGCTGGGGTGAAACCTCATGGCTGGGGTGCTGTGGGGCTGCCCAGGGCTGTGCCACACACTGAGAGGTTCAACAAGGGCAAGGGCAGGGTCCTGCACCTGGGGAGGAACAACCCCAGGCACCAATACAGGCTGGGGCTGACCTGCTGGGACACCTGGGAGTGCTGGGGGACGACAGGTTGACCATGAGCCAGCAGCGTGCCCTGGCTGCCAAGAAGGCCGATGGGATCCTGGGGTGCATGAGGAGGAGTGTGGCCAGAAGGGCGAGGGAGGTTCTCCTTCCCCTCTACACTGCCCTGGTGAGGCCCCATCTGCAGTCCTGTGTCCAGTGCTGGGCTCCCCAGTTCAAGAAAGATGAGGAGCTACTGGAGAGAGTCCAGCGGAGGGCTACGAGGATGAGGAGGGGACTGGAGCATCTCTCCTACGAG